TCAGTTCAGCCATCTCCTGTACATTTCTTGTAAAGCAGCATCCTTAGTATTTTAAATTATGTGTTCAGATATATTTTGCATTATTATGTCTATTTTTTTTCCTTTCCATTCTGGTAAAGAAAAGCAGATACGAAATACTGAAATTAACAAACACCTGAGCTTCACTTCAGGGGCCTTCAAAGTAACTGATCTCCACAACTTATTCAATGACCCTGACTGCTAATTTCAATGCCGGACACTGGGAATTCACTGGTGTGAGTTATTGGAAATGATAATTCCAGCTATTGACACATTACTTTATGATATGACAAAACTGTCTCCTGCCTAACTAATTCCAGCGTGGAAAAATGAGATTAAATAAAATGAGGGGAACATTATAAGACCTCATAATTATCAGTGCATGAAAGGTTTATCTCACCTGAGTCACTTCACTTGTGCACCCACTGAAGAGCTTCTATATGTTTTTCCTCTGAAAACAATTAGGAACTGATCTTACATTCCTTGCATACCCAAAACTCCCACTGACTTCAGCAGGAGCTCTGAATCTGCAAAAAATATAGACAGTCCTGGACCTCTGACATGTATAAGGCTTAAACAAAATCACACAGAAAACTATCTGTACCGTAGAAGGAAAATAATTAGAGCCAAATCTTGCAACCTTTTTGTCACAAAAATAATCTTTTGCCCAATATGGTAATGCCATGGAATTTAATGAGCCAACTCTTGTGAGTAAGGCCTAGCTGTGTAGGTACAGACTACTTCGAAGGATTTGCAGGATCAGACCCCCAGTTATCTTATGTCTCTTGTATACTGTACATACAGTATTCTGAACTTACTCCTTAGCCTACCAAACCATATAGAAAAAACAGGAGACTGTTAAACACATGTCATTCCTCTAATTAATAACACCCTTCTATCTGCCAGAGCCAGAGCCTGCTCACTTTGCTCATGCTGACTGCCCTAGTTACACGACTAAGGCAGGCAGAATTTGGCCCAGAGGGTCCACAAAGTCCAAGAACTGTGATAATAAAATCCGAAACTAAAGAATTTCCCCTCATGCACAGCTCCTCAGTGTGGCTGTATCTTAGACTGAATGACCTATTTGGGACCATGGCAAGAAGTGTGGTTCTAATTCTTGCTTGACAGATACTGTGTTTTGTCTTTTAAACAGAGCAGTTCAATATGTAAATACGATGTTACATCACACAAGTGTTACTCCATATTTGGTGATTTAGCATGGCTTCAGATCTCTGAAGACTACAAATCCCTTCCGCTAGGCTCCTGCTTCATTAATCATGCCCTACACTTCTGTTCATTTTCCTTCAAATCACAGACAGCACATGGAAATGGTCATTGCCATATACTACTCTGGAAATAAAAATCTTTAACCTATATGTCACAGAAGTTGAATGTGCTGGAATTGTTTTTTAACCATCTTTCAAAACTCAGCTCACTAGTAATTGACCCTTTATTTCTTTGAATATATGTATATCTGCGTGCACATGCACATGTGTGCATGCTACTACTGCAGAGCCTTCAAAAATACAAATGCCAAGTGTAATTTTAATGATTGGCTGGGGGAAAGAAATATCTTATTGAATCCCACAGTACCTACTGACCTATTACGGTTTAACTTTCTGGCCAAAATAAAAGACAAGATCCACTGTATCATGTGATTATCTACAATTCTGCTAATACTGAACTGTCCCCTAGGCTATTAAAATAGAGATACAAGTAATGCCTTATCCTAATTGATATTTCTATAAAACTAGATCAGGCTTTTGGTGATTTTGAAATTCTACAGTATAATCATGATACTGTAAGCATAATTTAAAGTGAGATACCAATGGGTAATGTTCTAGTTTGCTATAAGAATTTTCAAAACTGACTATGCATTCAGAACCTTGTGGTGTTCCTGTGATATTGTTTCTTGTATTAAATTCCATTTTCAACCTCAACTGTTGAGAATGTTGCACGTTTAATATTTTGCCATTTAAAAACGTATCATAGGGAATAACAGTCCTTACTTTTTTTTTAATTACATCTCTACAGTGTTTGTTGCACAAAACAGAACTCTGTCTTGGACATTTGTACGGGTGACATGTGGTTGTATAAACCACAAACAAAATCAAGATACATCTGTCAAAACCACATCAGAGACAAGAGAGAGCACAGAGAAGCATTTATCATTTGGCTGAGGAGGCAGGCTGCAGAGAGCGGCCTTTCCTGTCAAACCAACCTTTTGAAATTTCCAACATGCCCTTAAACTTTTCGAATAAGCATGTCTGTGCGCTTCAGCAAGTGCCCTCTCTACTCTGGCCTGGCCAGTCGAAAATGGCATCTTAAAGTCAAGGTCGGTGGTGTCACTTTGCCATGGGGCTGTGTTTAATTACAGTCCATATGCTGACAGCCAATATGGATCCAAGGCTAGCTGATGCTCAGTTAACTCTTTCACCCCTGACTTTACAAAAGACTTTAAAGCTAGTTTCCTGTATCACACAGCAGGGTGTAAAACAGACATATAAGGAACTAAGATAGGCAAGACACTGGGAAATAGCTAGTATAAATACGTACAATTAAGAAAACAGTCTCAACAAACCCAGTTAAAAAGACTCAAAAGTGTAGCATGTGCCTGTTGATCCTTCATCTACTCAGTCACTGAGAATTATTTTTTGTGTATTTAGTCTGTACCAAAATGCAAGCCATTTAACATGTAGGCTATCATGGAAAACAGAACAGAAAGACAGATATAGCACTTTACAGCTGTGAACTCACTACATTTCAACTGAAAATGGAAATAAACTTGCAAATACTTCTCCTGGCTTTGATTTACCTGCTATATGTTCCTGTTTAGGGCAAATTCCTCTAGATGACGTTGATAAACAATCGTCATCCTCTGGTGTGACCTGGATGCCAACCTCCACAGGATTGGACGCTTTTTTCAGCTCACTTGGTGAGGGTGAAGGTGGCTTATCCACAGCCTTCTCTAAGCAGAGACTGCCATTGCATTGTTTCCGTTTGTGCTCAATAAAAATAAGAATGTCCCCCAATGGGAAGTTCATCTGACACTGGCCACAAGTAAGGAGGTCATGGTCCCCTTCTGGAGCTCCCAGTGTGCCATGCTCAGGTTCATCATCAGTAAGAATGGCTTCAAGAGGTTCGGCTGCAGTTTGAGAAACAAAAGGAGAATCATTAGAGCTCTTGTAGAGAGAAGGGGAAGGGGGGTTAAGAAAAACACACTGAGCCCCCTCCCACCCCCGTTCATAAATGTTATTCATTGCCTACAACATTGGTATGCTGAAAAAATTAAACCAGTACAATGTGAATAGATGGTGCATTATCATTCCAATAAGAAAATGCATTTATCAGTGTTAATGAGGAATATATTTTGAGAAAGCAGCTGTAATGTATAGAACTGCAGGAATGAAAACTGCCATCTTATCTGTACTCCTGGATTTAGACAAATGTCTAATTTGAATGAACAATTTTAAGGGCAAAAATGTCAATAATAGCTGTAAAAAAATCCTGGTGAGAATACTGTGGTATCATGAAGAAAAGCTAACATAGTTCTTCTTTGCCTGAGATACTATTTCTTTATATATTTAGGACTAATACTTTATTTACATATACACATATATGTGTGCTCTCACACAGACACACACACATTTCCTATGACTTAGTCATGCAGTTTAAAATGTTAACATGCGAGTTAGGCATGTACATGTGACAAACACATTAAACACACATTACAAAGCTACATGAGGGGCACAGATATACAGTATAGTATGTAGGCATGTATGTATAATCTGTTTCCATATAAGCAAACCTATACACATCATAAGATTTCAAAAAGTCTAAACATGTGAATTGGTATTTCACATAACTATAATTCCTCTTGCAAAAAAAAGTAACTTTCAGCCCCACACCGCAGAATTCAAAGAAATATCAAATTTACTCACAATTCTACTTATACATGGTAGCTAAATAGGACACTTCTTGAGCACTGAAGAAAATAAGCCTTTTTTTTTGCATTCTGAAGAAAGGAATGCCTACATTATTCTAAACATGTTAGTACTGGTGGCCTTCATCATGTAAAAATCAGTATGGCCAAGCGGACGTCACATTTCATAACAGTGAAAAGTGCTTTCTTTAAACTTGAAATATCTGGACTAGTGTTCTCAGAGTTGACTAATTTTCTGAATGAGATTCAAAAAGCTTCTTTATGAGACTATTTCTGAGCACATAATTGCCAGTGAATGGTATAACAAGATGGGCATATCTTTTTTTGTTTGCTTTTTTTTCTTTTTTTTTCCACTTTGTACTTAAATATCTAGGCAATATTTGTGCAACATCCATCATTATAACCTTGCAAGAAAAAAAAATAAAAGTGTGTTGGTATTTCTGTACCTATGCAACATAATGCAAACACTGACAACAACAGCGAAAAGGAGATTAACATTACAAAATATTAAACACCTCAAAACATGGCTAGGTAATAAATGCGAGACAGAACACAACTCTTAAACAGTTAATCAGTCTGACCTTCTTTAGCAAGCTGCCAATTTCACATTTAATGAACTTAAAGCCACAGAGAATCAAAAAATAGATTTTAATTTGACTGCAGAATATTGGAACAGATTTTGATAAAGTGCAAAAATCCAGTGAACTCAGGTTAAACTTATTTCAACCCTACCTAGGCAGAATATTGAGGAAGAAGATCTGGAGTAGCTCCCAGTTGTGCTGGGTAAAATAATATTGAAAGAGCACACTACCTCACCGTACCTCAGCTCCAACTAGGACACAATGATACATTCCATTATTTCTTGCCTCTAGTACTACTTCTAATTTAACATAAGGTCAGCCACAGGAATATGAAGGTTACTTTCATATTAATAAAAACAACATCTTAATCACTTGGGTTTTCTTCTCAGCTTACTGACCAAAAGCTAATATACAGGCATTTGCACTTTTCTGGTACAGAAAAGGAAACAAGAATGTTTCTGCAATATCTGTGTAGATGCCATTTTTTTAGAGAAGAATTTGCTTTTTTTGTTGCATTTGGACACAGCGAGTGACCAAATACAGAAGTCATTTCACAGTTATCTTTCTACTTGCCTCAAACCAAGGTATTTTGTGTTAAGCCATAAATGTAACTTTCAGTTTACTATCTGCAAGTAGCAAAACAAAAAAATAAATAAATAAATGATATTCTCTCCAGAACTACTTTCACTGGAACTCAATCCTATGATTTTGCTTTGGCCTGATTTATTTCTGAATCCATCGATATTATTTAACAGTGAAGAAGAATCCAGTGCTTTCAGACTAGACAGTTTAAAGTACTCCTAAACAAAAACAGTCTTTGCTAAAGTCTGTACTGACTGGGCTGATTTACAATCAAAACCAGGAAATGAAGTGGTAATTCAGAGGTTGCTGATTACACCTCCACATTTCACCTAATTAATTTTATAGGAGGCAAAGTTCTTGAAAATAACAAGATGATCAAATGTACAGATATAAAACCTGTAACCTCAACATTTTCTATGCTCTTAAGGTAAATTATTGCTAATTAACAAGAATTATATACTAATGTATGAAATACTTCTGGCCCCAGCTTCATTACAAAACATTTGGCTGATGCAAGGAGATCCAGCAAAAATATGGGGCTTTTTTGTTTTATTACAGCTATTTTTTTTTAAATCAGGTGTACAAAGAAAAGAGGAAAATCGCATTTCACCTGGTCCTGCCACTGCTTTTGCAGGCTACATCTTATAATTCCGGGACAATCAAAATTCCCTGCCTAGGTATCTAATCATTCGTCTATATTTTTAATGCAAATTGCTCCTCCATAAACATGTATTTCGAGGCTCCCTCCCC